ATTGAAGTGGCAGACATGAGGATAGATGATACATAGAAGCAATCAAAGTTTATTTTTACATTCTGAACTACAGAATAGAAAATATATAACTAATACTAATTGTATTTGTTTCTCTCCTAATTAACAGTAGTCAGATCACCGGCCAGAGCAAGTCATTATTTTCACTGAGTTTATTCACAATAAAATAGAATAAGATTTAGATATTCATTCTGTGAAAAAAGGAGGACGACAAGACAGCTCGATCATATGACAGTACAGCACACTATCCAAATTCCAAGAATTTCCCTCCATTTGGCTCAATAAAACAAACACTCTATGTGTCTCACAAACAAGGGGCGTCTGGGACCAGGTCAGAAGCTTCATATCGCGCCATGCTTGTCTCAATAAAAATCTAAATTAAAAATTGCCGTTTTTTGCTAAAAACTCTCGAATGCTACGGTAAAATTTTTTTCTTTCGGTAAATCGGATTATTTTTTCCCAAGGAATTCAATGATGATGTTACTGGATTGGGCTTTTTTGTAGTATTTTGCCCAACTGCATTATACTGTATTTTTACCGATATTGAGGGACAACAATGTCCAGAAGTCTCCCAAAGGAGGGGTGTCTGATCATCTGTAAAATGGGTTTCTCTGGAACGGGACAATGTCACCCGATTTGTATGGTGTGCCGTTCTGTATGACATACCACAGCCTCTCACTCGGTTTCCTATCCATATCAAGTATAGAATTATTTATCCAGTCATTTGTTTCAGATGCATGGACTTGACAACGAAGGAGTGTGAGAAACTTGAAAATTACATGCATTATGATAAAAAAAAACATGAGATAGCATCCATTTTCAAGTCAGGCTACTACCAATTCAAAAATGGTCATTTTTTTCTATGTTATCAGAACTTATTAATGTGTCATGGATATAACGTTACATATTATACAGCTTGTTTGAAACGGTAGGATAGGATTTACATATTTTCCCCAGGGTATATATATCATATATAGGGCGAACCGCTGCCTCTCATCCATTTACCAGTCCATGACGTGTATGGGATTAGTTAGTCGGTTATTTGTTTCAGATGCATGGCTGCATGGACTTGATAAAAAAAATCTGTGAGAAACTTGAATAAATTACATGTATTATACTAAAAAACTATAAGATGGCAACCGTTTCCAAATTTGGTTACCAGTAATTTAGCTATTTTCGATTTTTCTATGTTGTCAGTACACAGTGTGTCATGAATATACATTTTATACCGGTACAACTGGTTGGAAAAACGTTTCTCTATGATAAGAACTGATTACTGTCATAACTGTATTAATTCTTTTATTGAGATTGTGCTGAGATGGATCAGAGTAGAATGGCACACTAAAGCAATACATTTTCTATCGGCTCAAACGTATAAAAAGGCTATAAAATTGAAAAATAGAAATAAGGCAAAACCTGAAAGCGTTTTCGACTTCATCGTCCCATCGTTTAGCTCTGACCATTGATTTGGGTTTCAGGGAATCGCCCATCGCACTCGTCGCTGCAGCCGCCATAGCTTATCGATTAATATATCAATTTTTATTTAAAATTAATAAATTTCGGCCTCAGATACCAGGATACGGTGATTCCAGTTGTTCGTAGCAGATACTACACATCGAGTGTGTTTCGTGACGTTTTGAACGATTGTTTTGCTCCTTAGCAACAACAGAAATGGTCACGCTTCGGTGATTGAAAGTATCTCGCTAGGTGGGAGTATCTTTGTGTTTTCACCATTTTTCACAGCCCGGACATTTTAAGATTGGGCATATAATATTATGTAATTAATGTATCAACAAGAACTGTGGATTCATTTCATAGTCAGGTGAAATCAATGATCTTACAGTATTTGCCGGCGGTTTTGTGTTTCACGCTTTGCCGACGGTATTTTCCAATTTAATCAGGTATTTAATCGGCGCGGCGATGCGGCTCAACGGGCTAAGCGTTAGGAATACGGTCCCCACCGCACCTCTAATTACTCTGCGTGGGTTCGCAGGTTTGAATCCCATGCAGGGATGGTTATGTGCGAAAGGATTGCTGGACTCCTCGCCGTCGTTGGGTGGTTCACGTAACCGCTGGTCGGTTACGGCTTCCTCCACCACCAAGTCCATGATTCCGAAAACAAACGAAATAACTAATCCCATACCCGACTTGGATGGTAACCGGACGAGAGGCCGTGGTTCGCCATATGGATAAGCCGTCTTATCGGCTTTCCTCTCCGTCGGGATAAATATGTAAATCCTATCCTAAATCCTATCCTATCCTATTACCACTATTCAAGTCCTGGTATTGCTATATATTGTGATCTCATAGGCCGGCTGACGACCCTTATTCAGCAGGTGACACGTGTAAAGAGGAAGTCTAAAATTTTTTTTGTAGGATTGCCGCATTTCGGCGTAGAGATGGCGGGAATTGACTTATAGCGGCCTGTCTACTAGACATGGGGAAATACATATACAGTTCGAACAGAACTGTCACTCCTTACGCTCGCTGTGAAATGATAAATGAGGCAATAGGTGTCACGTATGCCCCTCAAGCATAACTAATATTTCAAAACATCCTAGAGAAGATCAGAGAACCTGATATATCGGTCTATTTTGGCATCGATACTATTACAAAATGGCCAATATTTCCGTTACCGATACTCATTAACAATAAAATAGGTACATATAATAAAAATTCTGCGTTGTTTAGGCGCATCTACAAGAATTTTTACAATTTCTATATCGCTGATTGGCATTGATGTAACTAAGACAGCATTAAGCAAACAGTATCTGATTTTCAACTATCTTATTTTATTGATAAATTGCAAAAAACTTTGGTAATTTCACAGCATATAAGCATATGCGACGTTGTAACGGCGTTTACTTTAAAATACTTGCAACTTCATTGTTACTTAACTGTAGATTTTAATGGCATATGTAAACTTATATTTTAAACTCATCGTGATTTCTTTAAAAATAGAATATTGCAAAAAGCTAAATTAATTCTGCGATGTAATTGTTTATTCCATCACGCGATATTGCTAATCCGATTAAGTTCTGAAACTGCGTCACGACATGACAAGCGTCTGCTTCCATAAATATCCGAATGCGGTAAATTTTCAAGCATAAAAGCAACGCAATGGAAATACATCAGTATAGTTTTATATCGACTATATGAAGGCGACTGGTTGATAGAATAGTTCGCAAGATTTTTAGAGTTTGAAAAAATGGAACCTCCTATGATGCTAGTAATATTTGAAAACATTCCGTATGTGGTGAGAAGTCTCGATATTGTTGACTTGAATTGATTAGTTTTAAAACCAGATAAATAATAAACGCAACGGCATATGATAGTTAGGCAACCGAGAGCACTTTAGTGCGAAAGCCCAGGCAGTGTTAGAAATCGTTGCGCGTTGGGCAAAAAACTTAGTACGTAGCCTAAGTATATTTAGAGTTTCTGCGTGAAACGAAGGTTTCCCAGCAAACTGTCAGGCCGATCCGGACGAAACTTGGCATGTAGGTCGGGGATGCTGTCCACATGATCGGTCATAGAGAGTGGGCCAAAACGGGCTTTCAGTAATTCGGGCGTGGTTACCTGTCAATCAAGACACGCTCGAGTGATTTCGGCGTTTAGAGGCCGTTTAGCTCGGTTTCCGGGGCGGGAAAGCGTTTGCCCGAGTATTGGGAATTTTTCCAAGTAGTATTGGCGGTGGGAGTGAAGTCTCCGTCCCCTAAGTAGTGGGAAACGCGTGGAAAGCCACGCCCACTTAGGGACTATTGATTTTGGACTATTCTGAGCACTTAGAATGGGATTTCGGGCAAAGCGATGTTCGATTGTTGAAGAGAAAAATTAATCTGATATTTCACCGCCGTCAACTTGGTAATTCCCCCTCCCCGTAACGCTCCAGCGACGTCGAAACGTTACGCACCTCAGATTAAAGCTATCAAGAAACAAAGTAGATAAGAATAGTTGGAAAAATTAGTTAAATGCTTCTTTCAAGATTTTTATTTTCCCCAATTCCCAGTCACGCTCCAGCGATTTTGGCCTATTTATGGCCTCTGAGAGATCCCAGCAGAAATCTAAAGACATGGGCTCGGCTGGAAAAATTATTCGAATCACTTCCAGGTGGAATTTTTTTCCCCATACTCCCCAGTCACGCTCCAGTGACTTTGGCTTATTGTACGCCTCTTAGAGGTTTTTTAGGAATCTGAAGAGATGAGTATGACTTGAAATAACGTTTGAATAATTTTTAAACCGAGTTTTTTTTCTTTAACCCCCAGTCCGATGATTTTATAATATATCTCTAAAACGGTAACAGGTAGAGATGTCATATTTAGGTAATACAAAGTAATTGAGGTCAAGTTTCGTCACTGATGAGTGATCACAGACACCAAAATTAATAAAACTCGACTTCCGTTAGAAGTGACTGTTTTATGATGTGTTATTTAAACAACTCAATCGTTAAAAGACTTCGGGAGTAGCGCGCTGGGCAATTTCCGCCATTCGTACGGCACAACAACTGTTGTTCTTCCATCGCACACCAAAGGAGCGTCCGCTTTTTACCTTGTCCAAAACGTTTTCTTACGATTCCCCTCGTAGCTATGGACGAAGGAGCGACTTCCCCTGGATGTTGCCAAGACTTCCATGAGACTGCAATATGTGCTGATAGATTATGGCTAATATCAATATGGACATACTTGGAAAACTTCGGATAATAACACAAATATTCTGATCATTAGTGCGATATAAGCAGAGAGAGTGGCAAATAATTATCAATATGCTTCATAGACAGTTAAACAAAGCTACTCCGTCTTTATAGAGGCTCACCGCTACTTTAGCATATGCCGCTCTAAAAATGTTATACACCTTCTAATAAGGCCACATGTGGATAAGCTATTGCCATTAAAAGGCTTGAGCTGATTCTGAAATGATCATTTTTAAGATTTTTTACTCCCCATTTTAAAAGCAGATGCCTTTACCTTAAATTGACTACGCTTTACAAAACGATCATATCTTTTATGCAATGTCGCTTTTTTTATCATTTAGTTTTTACTTTTCTACACTGAAACCACGAAATGAAAATCTCAATAGTTTTCATATTAATCTACGTCATCACTTCATGCTGGTGTCAAGATGAAACGGTGTTTCACTGTTCACCCAAGCCTGGTTGTCAGATTGCACATTGTGATTCGGACAGACTAACCTTTGACATTGATAAACATACCAAAGAATATCCGATCTCATGCAAGTCCAATAGTACTATCCTTAGCTGGCTTGATTTGGCATCTAGAAATTTGGGTAAAATTTTTTCTTTATCTTCTTGTGTAATTAATTAACAAACTATTGTTTTAATTAGGCTGAGTTCTGCGTTATTATCTACCAAGAAATAAGGTATTTCGATATTTTGCATGATGCAATCGAATCTAAAAAAAAATAACTTTTATTCAGATATCACAAATATCAGAATAGGATTGAAAAAATTGGAAAACAAGTTTGATGAAAAAATGGAGAGTTCCGGTAAAGAAATTCTTGCTCAGTGCCGATAGTTTCTTATTACAGTAAAATGCAAATTTTTCCACCACTTTGTGATTTCTGTTCTGTTTATTTTAAACTTTTATTTCAACCCTAAGTACTCGAACATACAGCCAGCCAGTGAACTAAAGACCTTAAGCGATATTAACTCATAAGAATCTCCTTGTAGTTTTTATCGTTAGATTTGAAATAAACGATCTATCGAGGGAAACTACGAAACAGTCTGATAAGATCAGAGAATTGAAGGAAGGTTGATGAAAGGAAGGAAAGATTATTGCAACAGCGTGATGCTTGTTGTACTGTAATTGCTAAACTGAGTGAAATGATTTGCAATTCCGTAAAGTCAAGTGCTAACCATCGCTAACAACATTAAATCATACTCGAGTTTTCAACGCTCTAAGTTATTCTTAATCTTTTTCATATTTTCAGTGCCGGAAGGTTTTTGGCAATAATACAGTACAATAATTTTACCAAAACGAGGGAAATCAGAGTCTTCCATTTTTATGTCCCAATCTTATTTTCAATACTGCAACGAATGCGTGTCTTGATCTACTAGATATTCATATTTTTAGACTTGATTGAAATTCAAGAAATGAATGAAAAGTTGGTAGAAGAAAACAATAAGATGAAGAAAGGTGAGAACCATCAAAAGGGCCTGAATACTGTTGTTCTAGCTTATAGAGATGTTTTACATATTTTCTGGACTCTGGTAACTGCTATGACAAACATGGCTATTTTAACTGCTGCTTTGAAATCCTTAATATAATATTTCATACTGAGCAGCTGAATGTTATTTTAATTGTTATTCTTTCATTAGATTTGATTAAAGTACAAGAAATGAATGAGGAGTTGAGAGATGACAACGAAAAGATGGAGAAAGGTAAAATAGGTCGAATAATTTTCATTATTGACATTGTAGTTTGCTGGGAAATATTTTAGTGCAGTGTGAGTACATTTACTGGGATATATTTTAGGGAAAATGGGAAATCTCCGAAATCGTATACGTATCCCATAAACATGATGAGAATTCTATTTGTAGCATTTTTCAACAATCTGTACGACCTGGGGATTTTGTGTTTGTCAGAAGTAAATTATTGTAACGTATGAAACAGGGGGGGCATTTTTTACAAATTAGAATTTTTTACGAAATATTTCATTGCAAAGTTGGTAGACAGTTTATGCAGTGAAAACATTCTCCCAAACTATTTAATTAAAGAAATGATATTTTTTTAAATTACTGCAACGAAACACATTACACGAAAATGCTTGCCGTGGCTGTTATATGAATGAAAAAAAAACAGAAAACATTTCAACAGAACATCATTTTTCCGAAGGAATATCAGAACTATCGTAGAACTATCAGAGCTTGTTAAAAATTAGCAAATATGCCACTAATTTTTCTTTTTTACCAATGAACAATTAAAAACGCTAGAGATTTGTAACGATTGAAACTCGCATAAAGGCTTTGTTGTTTTAGAAAGTGGTAGATAGATGGAGGAGGTGTCGAATAATAATTATATGATAATTTAGCGATATCCAGGATTGAACAAAGACTTGCTGTTATGGAGAAGTCTCAGAAGCTTCCAAATAGATCCGGGCAGATTAACAGACCAACAACAAAGACTCGAGGAACATTGAAACCAACTCCTCCTCCAGGTGAATAATTTATCCAAACCAAGTTGTAATTTGTGAATAGTTGATGAATCATTCGAATTAAAGCGATTATAAAACAAAACGATATTTCTACATTCGATGGAGCCGAAGCCGAGGAATGCCAGCAAGTTATGAATGTTATTGGATTTTCTTCTGCATAATAACAACCAAAAAAAAACATACTCATTGTTTTATTGGCTTCATTACATTTTCTCAAGCCTGTTAGTTTGATTTGGGATATTGAAGTACTCTTTGAAGGCGCACCTATTTCAAAACATAGATTGATCAATATTTATTACTTGATTAATTTTCACATATACAGGTATTTTATTTCAGAAAACTGCAAATTGAAGATAGGAAATATCTGTTATTTCGCTGTTATATATCATAAGCAGAATGTCAAATATGACAAAGCAGTTGATATCTGTAAAAAACGTAACGCAGATGTTGGTTTGATTCGAAATGAAGAATCTTACAATGCGATTATGAATTACTTGAGAAAGAATATTCCAACGAAACGGACGTGGGTTTATATATCGACAGGAATCAACTTTGATCCAGTATCATATGGTTATGCTAATTATTCTCATATGTAGGAATATAAAACACATTACGAGATGGGCAAAGTGTTAGGCAAAGATGTTTGAGACAAATTGGGTTAGTTCATTATCTACATCTGTTCAGGCGGTATGAATATGAAGTTTTGCATGATAACACGTGAGAGACTAGAAATACTTGCGTTCACATTTGACCAAGCATGGGTCGACAATAATATATCGCATTTTGACCGGATTAAGCATTGTGAGTCAATAGTTTAGGCCAGTGGTTCCCAAACTTTTTAAGGTTGGAACCCACTATTTTTTACCACAGCTTATGGCTATTTAACGTCAATAAATTAATTAAACATTGATGGAGAAAACAAATTTATTTTCTCAATTTAAATTTTCAGTGAAGCTAGTCAGAGAGATGAGCTTGTTTCTTGCTATTTTCCATAATAGCCTTGACATTTATTTCAATTTCAGATAGTTTTAGATGTAAAAAAATGAAAAGTAGCAGTTTATTTCGAAATTCGCTTTTAAATTTGCTTTGCCACCAATCCTAATAACCAGTATAATTAACCTAAGCTTTCTACATATTTTCACGACCCACTGAGATTCCATAGTTTGGGAACCGCTGGTTTAGGCTAGTGGTAATGCACAGGCTTGACTGTGCGAATGGAATGAGAGACAGCACACAAGTATTTTCCATGAGACATTTGTCGTGTCATACCTTGATTACGTCATGGATAACCTTAGTCTTTATGCTTTTTACCTTTCAAATGTTTTCCTTCTCCCTTTTTTGCAATAATTGTATCCATTATTTAATTCATGGTGGAACAGCGACACAAATAAATGTGATTCCCACGAAAAACGTCCCATGTGATGTGATGGAACAAGCATTAACTGCTATGAGATGGAATTGGACATAAAATATGTCCCATGGACAAGACTATGGGCAATGCATATCACTAATTTATGACACATCGTTATTATGCGTTTTGTAATGCGATTTTAGGTAATTTATGAAATTAAATGGGCGATCAAGCATAATCCCGTGATATATGTCATCCAATTATTTTCTTTTAAGACTGGTGACGTCACACCTGCAGATTCATTCATTAAATGGAGTCGGGATGGTATTCCATTCACGGGAATTGATTTTAAAGATCGTACAAATGTTTATCTCGATGTTAATTTTAAACCGAGTTATCATGATCAAGGGATGGCGAATGCTGCTCCTACCTGGGAGCGTAACGGAGTTATTTGTGAGATCCTGATCTAATTAAATGTCTGCTTGATTGTATTTTTTCACTCTGGATCCATCATCAATGAAACATAAATCATTGAATCCTGATTTAAAATTTAAACTTTTGGTATTTGTAGTAAATACAGTATATAACAGTAAATATAAATTAATAATTTAAATTAGCATAATTAGTTAAACTAACTTGCGTTTGATGGAGAAATTTTCAATTTTTGGATTTGAATTTTTCAGTTCTGCAAACACTTTAGTTAAATTGGATTTCAGTTAAACAAATTTGCCTAATAAACAAGCAATAAATTTAGTTTCTGTGTAAAATCTATTGTTTTTCATAATGCTGTTTCTCAGCGGGATCAGTTTGAGTACGGATTAGGTTCGTTAAATTTACAATAATTTATCTCAAAGGAACGCAAAGCTTGGAATTACCTGAATAAGTAGAAATATAAAAAGGTTTACCGACTCATTCTATGAAATTGCATGGCGTTTATTGACTTTGAGCAATGCTAAATTTTCTTTAAGGGTTTTTTGGCACCGCATCCCAACACTTCGCTGATTCGATAATGCGACGGAAAAGTATCAACCAATTAACAGAGAAGTACATTGCAATAAGTGCATTAGAAATTTGGTATTATTGCGATGTATTTCATGTACTCAAACATGAGTGAAAAAAAGTCTTCTTTGAGCAAAGTTTCAGGCGACAAGAAGTTCTATGAACTAGAAGTTCTGAAACTATACAGAAATGTCTTGTTGAACTTATTCAGAGGTAAAAAAGACCCATCCTCTTAGAGAAGTTATGGGTGACATTTGAAATGCGAAAAGTTACTGAAATAACATAGGATTATGGTGGCGTCGTACATGCACTCAAAAGTAAATGAGACTCTGAGCAAAATTCCGGGTGATCACTGAAAGTCCAAAGGCTACTGGGACTATCAAAAATTAAACGTAAATGAATACCGGACTATTATCTAGTTATACTGCATTGGAAGCCACCGTCCGATTCTTATTTCCCAATTGCTGCGGCAAAAGTTCCAACATGTGTTACATCGGTTAAAGTTGGGGGAAATAACTGTCGTTCTTGAACCGTTATCCTGCCCGCCACTCCCTCGACCCCTACCACGACTCGAAAAATTGAAGCATGAAGGTCAACAAACTCCAACAAAAGAAGAGTTAGACTGGAAGATAAAAAAAAAGCAGACGCTGAAGACTATTGAAGACAATAGCGTTTATATAATTTGCAATGAAGTGTGTGTACAGAACAGTGTGTACGTATTCTTGCCGTACCCTGGACTAAAGGTAGTATTAACATAAAACACAAAAGACTTATTCATAAAAACATTTATCGAGTCAATAATTACTGGTCACTGAGCAGGGCTAGGCTTATATTCAAATATTCAACTATAAGAATAGAAATTTACTATTTGAAAATTTGGTAACAAGTTACGCGACAGGTCACTTGCGCGTCGCTTAATCAAACGATGGGATTTCACAACTCACTTGCGGATTCTCAACGAAAACACCAGTCTGCACTATAGAGGTTGGATCGGGCCCAAAAATTCCAGCCGGACCCAGGCCCGTGGGTATTAAACCCGACTAATTAACTGGATTTGCAGGTCCGAGACAGGAGCAAACCCGAAATTTCCAATTTTATTAGGAGTTCTTTGAATTGCCATTGCAAGAGTTTAATACAGTATGTGTCGTGTTGATGAGGCAACTTCTGTGCTTTTTTACAGACCACGGTCTCTCGTGGCCAAAAACACGGCCGAAACGAAACGCCGAAACTCATTTATAAAAAGGGGAGGGGGGCGATGGAGAAGCCCGACCAGAACGTAATGACTGACATTTCAGGCCCGACCCGGCCCGAATTTTGGGTCGCTTTTTTAGACATTGCAAATCGCAAAATTTTGGGTGCTAGCAGTGAATTTCCCTCTAAAATTCTTTGCGTTACTGCCTTCACATTAGTACGTACACTTCTAGAGCGCCGTAAGTGTTGTACAAACAGCTCAGATTTTTCGAATTCACACAAATACGAATCAAAAAAAATATAATCGGACATTGTAAATTCTTGTCGTTGTCATGGATTGAATATTGCGCAACAGAAAAGGGTTTACCAGGCTTGTCCATGGGACATATTTTTCTGTCCCATTCCCATCCCATAGCAATTATGCCTGTCCCATCCCTTTAGGAAGAAATTCAATAAAAAATGTTAAATTTAGGTTTAGCGTTTATTAAATAGGACTACATGTACGAAGAGACATGCTAAACAACAAAATTTACGGACTTTGTTAACTTTATATTCATAACCATTATACACGTATCCATCAGCTCTTTCACGAAGTATATTGCTAATGCTGAATATATATTGCTCTTTATAACTAACAAGAGAGCTAAGATCAAATATATGAACGCGAAATCCATAACGAATTGTTTTACCATAATTTTACCGAAAATCATACGATTTTCGCGTCCCGCGAGAAATACAAATGTATGCTGTCCCATACCAACCCATGGGACGTTTCGCATAGACAAGCCTGGTCTTTACACACTAAAAAAGTCAGCTCTTTTAACGAACGCGTAATTGCGCCGAATTTACGATTTCGAAATTCGTTAAAATTCTGTCGTGTTTGGTTTTACTGCTTCTACGGTTGCAATAAACGCACTTTGAGTCCGCAAAGATTTTCGCCGGTGAGAAAATAGTCCGCGACCAAAACAGGTTGGGAAACACTGGATTAAAGAGTTTCAAGTTTGCTCTAAGCAAGGTGTCGAGCCCTCAACTGAAAGTAACAAAATTACTTTACTGTCGATTTTAATAGCATATGTAAACTAATATTTTAAAATCCGTTGCGATTTCTCAAAAAATAGAATATTGCAAAAAACTAAAGTTAATTTTGCGATACATAATTTCTAGGAAACGGCAAAAAAATCTTCGACCATTCAAATTTTCTTGAGGGAGTTCTCTCAAAGCAAGTTCACTCGCTTCAAAAATTAAGGAGATTTATTTTTAAGCTAAATTGTGCGACCAACAAAATGCCAAGAGTTACTGAGTCTATTGGGAATGATAGTGTCGGATTCTTTTTAGTAAATAAGGATTGGCGCAAGACTTAAAAATAACAGCTATGCAGTGAATTAACCATAACTTTAATTATATGAATTTTTTTTTTCAATTCAAACATTATTTTTTCTGGTTTGAACATTCACTCTACACGGGCTATAAGTCGGCGAATGAGAACGGTTACTGAGGCAACAAGTTCTCAAAGACCAGAGGAAGATAATTCAATTTAAAATCTGCGAAAAAGCATGGTTACATAACATAGAGCTGATGAGGGAGAGTCTGCATTTAGGCGTAGGGATGGCGGGAATTGATCTGAAAACTTATAGAGGCTGGCTACTAAACATGTAAAATACATATACAGTTCATACAGAACCGTCATTCCTGACACTCGCTGTGAAATCTTAATTGAGGCAATAAGTGCCACTTATGCACTTCACGCATAACTAATATTTCAAAACATCCTAGGCCAGATCAGGGAACCTAATATATCGGTCTATTTTGCCCACCTCGATACAATCACAAAGTGGCAATATTTCCGTTACCGATACTCGTTAACAATATATCGGTACATCTCTACTTTTGAACTGTGGCAAAATTCTGGGTTGTTTTTAATGGTGCATCCACAAGAATTTTCAAAATTTCTATATCGCTGATTGGCATTGATGAAACTATGACAGCATTAAGCAAACAGTATCTAGTTTTCAACTATCTTATTTTATTGATAAATTACAAAAATGTTTGGTAATTTTACAGCTTATAAGCATATGCGACGTTGTAATGGGTGGCAACTTCATTGTTTCTTTACTGTAGATTTTAATGGCATGTGTAAACTTATGGTTTAAATTCATTGCGATTTCTTTAAAAATAGTATATTGCAAAAAGCTAATATTAATTCTGCGATGTAATGGTTTATTCCATCACGCGACATCGCTAATCCGATTAAGTTCTGAAACTGCGTCACGACATGACAAGCGTCTGCTTCTATAAATATCCGAATGCGGTAAATTTTTAAGCATAAAAGCAACGCAATGGAAATACATCAGTATAGTTTTATATCGACTATATCAAGGCAACTGTTTGATAGGATAGTTTGCAAGATTTTTAGAGTTCGAAAAAAGGAACCTCCTATGATACTGGTAATATTTGGACGATTGTTAGGCAACAATAGAGTACTTTAGTGCGAAAGCACAGGCAGAATCAAAAATCGTTGCACGAATATCAAATAGCTAACCCGATTGTGCGGAGACATGGGGGTATATTCTAGGTTTCCCAGGAAACTGCCGGGCCGATCAGGACGAAACTTGGCATGTGGGCCGGGGATAGTGTCGTGATAACATAGAAAAGATCGGGCCAGAGGAAGTGGGCCTAAACGGGCTTTTAGTGGCCCGAGGCTGGTTATTGGTCAATCAGTTCTCAATCAAGTCAAGCTAGAGTGATTTTGGGTTTTAGAAGCCGTTTAGCTCCGTCTCCGGGGCTAGGAAGCGTTTGCCAGAGTATTGGGAATTTTGCAAGCAATATTGGGGGTGAAGGCAGTGACTCACTATGTCGAATGTGGTGAGAAAAGTGTGGGAAGCCACGCCCCCTTGAACGATTATTCATATCGGACGACAAAGAGCACTTGGAACGGGCTTTCGGGAAAAGCCTTGCTCAAATCTCAAGGGTAATAATTAATCAAATATGTCATCACCGAAAATTTGGGGAATTCCCCGTCCCTGTAACCCTCCAGAGTTTGCGCTACTCAGAATGAAGATATTGAGAAAAAAAGTACATAGGTACGTTAGGAAAAATGAGTTTAATGTTTTCTTCAAGATATTTTTTTCTGCTAAGGTCTTATTGAGAATCTAAAGGCATGTGCATGACTAGAAAAATTATTTAAATCAGATTTAGATGGATCCCCCCCCCCCCCCCTCAGTAATGCTACAGTGATTTTGGCTTATTGCAGGCCTATGAATGGTCTTATTAGGAATCTAAAGCCCTGGGCATAACTAATAAAATTATTTGATCATTTTGATGTCAAAATTTTTTCCTCTAACCCCCCAGTCTCGCTTCAGTGATTTTTGGTCAAATTTTTTATCACAGAATGGTAATAGATAGAGATGCCATACTTGGGTTATATAAGGTAATTGAAGTAAATTTATAACAAATTTTTTTTGTTTTGGTTGAGTGATCACGGACCAAAAAATTGATAAAACTACGAATATCCGCCAGTCTTCCGGCGCCACAACCCTCCTGCTTCCATCCTACATCAATTGAGCGTCAGCTGGTCCAAAATTTTTTCTCTCTTGATTCCCCTCGTTGGTAGCGAAGCGACCGTCCCTGGATGGTTAGGCAACCGAGAGCACTCTAGTGCGAAAGCACAGTCAGTGTCATAAATCGTTGCGCGTAGGGCAAGAAACTTGGTACGTAAGTATATTTATGGTTTCAGCGTGAAACGAAGGGTTCTCAGGAAAACTGTCGGGCCGATCCGGACAAAACTTGTCATGTAGGTCGGGGACGGTGTTCATATGAACGGGCCAGAGGAAGTGGGCCAAAGAAGACGCTCGAGTGATTTCGGCGCCGTTTCGAGGATGTTTAGCTCGGCTTCCGGGGCGGAAAAACGTTTGCCAGAGTATTGGAAACTTTTCCAAGTAGTATTGGGGGTGGGAGTAAAGTCTTCGCCCCCTAAGGGTTGAGTAACGTGGGTAAAGCCACGCCCACTTCAGTACTATTGATTTTGGACGATTCTGAGCATTTGGAATGGAATATCAGGCAAAGCGATGCTCGATTGTCAAAAAGAATAACAATTCAAATATTTCACCACCGGCAACTTGGTAATTTCCCCTCCCCGTAACGCTCAAGTGACGTCGAAAAGTTGCGCACCTCAGATTGAAGCTATCAAGAAACAAAGTAGATAAGAATAGTTGGAAAAATTATTTGAATGCTTCTTTCAAGAATTTTATTCTCCCTCACTACCCAGTCACGCTCCAGCGATTCTGGCTTATTTATGGCCTCTGAGAGATCCCAGCAGAAATCTAAAAACATGGGCTTGGCTGGAAAAATTATTCGAATCACTTTTAGGTGAAATTTTTTTCCCCATACTCCCAAGTCACTGCCCTTTTTTAAAAAGCCTGTGCCGATTCTGAAAAAAACGTTTTTCAAATTTTCTAAGCCCTTTTTGAAAGAATATTACTTTTCCTTGAATCCGCCATGCTAATTAAAAATAAACGCCTTTATAAAACGTCCATAATTGTTATAAATTTGCAATGTCGCTTCTAAATTATCTTTTCTCATTCTATATGCTACGCTCATTCTGAATTATTACAATCTCGGCTACAAATAGCGTTGTCTAATGTGAGGTTTTTTCTAAATAGATCAAACATGCTCTGTGCCCGTTTGCAATAAACCATGACTTTTTTCATTCAGTTAATACTTAACTACACTGAGATGGAAATCCCAATCGTTTACATATTAATCTCCGTCATCGCGTCATCCTTGTGTCAAGATGAAACAGTGTTTCACTGCACTTCCAATCCGGGTTGCCAGATTGCACTATGTGATCCGATTGCTGTAGGATGGGACAGACCAGGTTTCAACATTGATGAACATCTGCAAGACAAAGAGTACACGATAACATGCAAGTCCAATAGTACTGTTCTTAGCTGGCTTGATTTCGCAGCCAGAAATTTGGGTATGGTTGTTTTAATTGCTTGATTGAATAATTAATTTTGAAGCTCAGTTTTGAGTTTTTACCTAGAAATAATTTATTTCAGCAATTTGAATGATGCAATCGAATCTAATAAAATCTTCAATTTTTATTCAGATATCACTAGTATTAGAATGGGATTGGAAAAGTTGGAAGACAAGTTTAATGGAAAAATTGAGAGTTTCGGGAAAGAAATTTCTGGTTAGTGTACGATAACCCCTAACCTCAATAAAATGCTAAACCTTTCGCTTTCTGGAATTCCTGTTCTGTTTATTTCAAACTTTCATTTCAAAGTACTCGAACATGCAGCCATCTGTATAACTAAAACTTATCTTTTAAAACAAAAGAGTAAACATACATAAAAATGAGAGGAAGTGAACTGAAGACCTAGACGTTATAAGATTTTCCTCGTAGTTTACATCGTTAGATTTGAAATAAACAATATTTTGAGAAGAACCACAAAACACCACACTCTGATGAAATCAGAGAAATGAAAAAAGATTCGTGCGACATCGTGATGGTTTTTTAATCTGCCATCGCTAATGCCAAAATAAATTATTGACAAATACTCAAAGTCTAGTGGTAACTGAACTTAACTTTAAACTTTTTTTTCTGTCAAAGCTATCAACATTTAATCATACTCGAGCTTTCAACGCGCAAAAGTATTTTTTATCTTTTCTCATATTTTCAGTGCCGGAAGATTTTTCCAATAATATAACAAAACGAGTAAATGCAACGATTCTTCTCGTCTTATTTTTACGTCCCAATCATATTCTCAATACTGCAACAAACGTATATCATGATCCACTGGATATTTTTATTTTCAGACTTGGACGAAATGAATGAAAAATTGGTAGGAGACAACGATAAGATAAAGAAAGGTGAGAGCAATCAAGAAAGTCTCAATACTGTTTTTCTATTTTACTGAAATGTTTTCACACATCTTTAAACTTGGGTAACTGCTATGACACACAGGGCTATTTTATCTGCTGCTTCGAAATCCTATATAAGTTACAATGGTAAACAATGTACTATTTCATACTGAGCTACTGAATGGTATTTTTAAATGTTATTCTTTCATTAGATTTGATTAAAGTACAAAACATGAATAATAGGTTGATTGAAGACAACGAGAAGATGAAGAAAGGTAAAATATGTCGAATAATATTGTTTGTTGACGAAATATATATCTGCAAACAATTTTTTGCAATCGAGTAACCACTATGACAAAAGCATTCTATGATCTGCTATTTCTAAATGCAATATAAAAATTAAAAACATTATTGTTCAGTTTACTGTGAGCGTCAAAATGCTATTTCTCATTAGATTTGACCAAAGTACAAAACATGAATATTAAGTTGACAGAAGACAACGAAATGATGAAAAAAGGTAAACTGACGAATAACTTTCTTTGTTGACATTGTTGTTTGTCGCGATATATTTTAGGGCTGAGAGTGAGTAGAGTGATCTAATGAATACTTGTAACATTTGTGAAAGGTTTGGTGTTCACAAATTCTCAGCTTTTCCCAAATTATTCTTTGAGGTCGTATAAGTATCCCAGAAACATTGAAATATTACCAAACCACTTTATGAAAATGACAATGTTATTCTTAGCATTTGTGAGCAATCTCCAGAACCTTAATTAAGATTTCTTGTTTGTCAATAGAGAAGTATTATAAAGTTTGAAATTGGGGAATATTTTACAAATTATTTACAAAATATTACATGGCAAAATTGGTGATCAATTTATGCATCGAAAGCATTCTCCCAAACACTTTATTTAGGAAAGTGATTGGGAGAATGCTTTCGCAGCTTAAACTGTCTACAAACTTTTCCGTGTTTTTTTTTAAATTACTGCAATGGGACACAGCGACAAAATAAGCCTGTCTCGACCGTAATTTGAGTAGAAAAATGACATAAAACAAGTGAAAATAATATGATTTTTTTGTACGCCCGTAGATGTGAACCAAGATGGCGGACACCGTAACGAAGTATGTATACCAAGTTAGAATTAGGCTATAATTTCAGGTACAAATATTACAGGAGTCACTCGGCTAGTCCCCGAACTCGTAATATAACTAAAATTAAAAAAAAAGTAATAGAGTTATGGTCTAACCCTAACCTGGTACATATATTATGTTCCGGTGTTCGCCATCTTGGTTCACATACTACGGGACGCCGAGTTTACTGAAGATATATATACAATCTTCTGTGAGCTTGTTTAAGATTGGTAAATGTGGCCAATTATTCCCAACTTTATACTGAACACTACAAAACGTCAGAAGTTTGTGAGGTAGAGGAATGCGTGGCGGAAGCTTCGTTGTTTTGGCAAGTGAAAACAAAACAGATACTTAATTTTCAATACTTTTCAATAATTTAGTTTTCAATACTTATATTAACATTTAGCGATATCCCGTATTGAACAAAAACTTGCTGTTATGAAGAAGCCTCAACTGATTCCAAAGGGATTCGGACAAATCAGCAAACCAAAGCCAACTCCTCATCCAGGTAAATATTTCATCCAATTTGTGGTTTATGAATATCTGACAAATAATTTACATTATAGTGATTATAGAACATAACATTGTTTTCAATTATTGAATATAGAAAGAAAATGGGCAATATATGATAGACTTTGTTGCATTCCCAAATACGATAAATTGAGTCGGCTAATTTGAATATATTGAAATATAGTTAGAAGTCTGTTTGCTTTTTATTTGTAGCAACGATTTTCTTGAGAAAAATATCACTCGTGTGATTTCACATTGAAATAAACTGTCGTTACTTTTCAGAAAATTGCAAATTAAAGGTTGGAAATATCTGTTATTTCGTTGTGATATATGGCGAATGGGATGTCGTATACAAAAAAGCATTTGATATTTGTAATGAACGTAACGCAGATGTTGGTTTAATCCGAGATGAAGAATCTTACAATGCTATTATAAAATACTTGAGAAAGAATATTCCAAGAGGAGAGGATATATGGACCGGAATCCAGTTTGATCCAATGGTTAGTATCTTATGGTTTTGCTATATATACTCTTGCATAAAATATATATAATTATACCAGATCAGTAGGATAAGAGTTCCAATACGAACAAAGGTGGTTAGAAGCAATATAAGTTTGGTTAGAACAGTATTTTGCGATTGTATTCGTCCGCGTTGTACAATACGTACATGCGCTGAGAAAAACTTGTGGAATTGGGTGATAATTCATCCACATCCAAGCACCAGCTGAATTTGAACCTTCGTCTTGATCTATTCAGAGTTATATCTATATTCTGTATATAGACCTACTAATATAGTAATGGCTTAGCATAGGAGTTCTGTTCAAATGTCTGCCCAGCGTGTGGACACGAAGATTTTGTTTTTTATGTCGCATGAGAGACTGGTAATACTTTACAAATGACATTTTTATTGATGAAAAACATAATTTATGATTTTCGATTTAATGTGTGATCGAGCATGATTCAGTGATGAATGCTATCAAATAATTCTTTACAGACTCGTGACGTCACACCTGCAGATTTATTCACTAAATGGTATCCGGGCGATCCATTTACGGGAATTGAATATAAAGATCGCACAAATGTTTACCTTGTTGTCAATTCCGACCCAGATGAACGTAGTCAAGGGATGGTGAATGGTGATCCTACCTGGAAGCAGAATGGAGTCATTTGTGAGATCCTGATCTAATGAAACGTTTGGATTTATCATCAAAAAAATATTATTTATAGAATCTCAACTAAAAATCATACCATTCGTATTTTGATGAATACAATATATAAGACTGAATATCAATTGTCAACGGAGTTATATGTGAGATCCTGATCTAATGAAACATCTGCCTGGTTGTATTTTGTTCTTCTTGATCTATCATCAAAAAAATATAAATCATTGAATCCCAATCTGAAGTTTGTACGATTAGTCTCTCCAATTATCAATGTAGATAATCAAAGCTATATTAAAGTTTAATAAAAATAGGTAACTTTTTAACGTTATCCGATTAAAAATGATTCCTGATTTTTTAGTTATGTAAGCATACCATTTAAAATTATAATTTATCAAACAAAGTCGATTAATATTTTCAGATTTAATTTGTCACATTTTATCGTTTCGTTGATTGAAAATGTTGAAATTTGAGCAAAGTTCAGAGATTTATATTTTTGATTTGAGTAATTTGATAGATAAATTAATACAAACACTTTAAATCGAAATAAATGTAGTTTCCGTGTAATATATTCGTTTTTCTTAAGTTTTTCAGAGGGATCAGTTTGAATGAGCTGAAAGCTGAAAAGGTTTCGCAAATTGTTCACAACATTGAATAAATACATTAAAGAAAAACTTGCTTATTGCTCGATGCGTTAATGAGTTCAAAATTAGAGCTCGACCGATATATCGGCCAACCGATATATCGGGCCGATATTGCGTGTTTGCCGATATATCATATCGGCCCAACTGGCCGATATATCTGGCCGATATATATCAGCTTTAGTCGCTTTTCCACGTTATAAAAAATGAGTCTTTTTCCCCGGGAAATATCTGCGGTCGAGCGTTTTCTTTTTTTCGCTTCTCTCATTTTGCCTCTCAATGAACAGAGAGTTCTCTTCTATAATTCTCTCCTTTATCTCTTCGTGTGGCGCAAAATCCTCGCCTTCGAATATCTTGCGTCCCCATTAGACTTGCACGTAATCGACAAAAATCAATTTCGTAATTACGACAAAATCGATTACGTAATGACCCCGTAATTGCGATATTTTTTCACGCATTTAAACCTATCATAAAAACCATTTGAATCCACTTCTTTTCCGAATGGGACATCGAAGTTTGATTTTCATATCACCGACAGTACTACACGCCGGCGACAGATGTTAAAGACAGATACCAAGGAGTGAATTCAAATTGTATTTATTCTGATTTTTATCTTTTGTGTTGATTTGATTTTCCTTTATCACCTTCGCAAATTAACCGTCCCAATTTTATGCGATCAATTTTATCATTACCAACACTGGTATACGGATATTTATGACACAATAATTGCCTTTTTTTAAAATCGACTTTTGTATTGAATAAAAATGTCGGGTTTCCAAGTTATTAATCAACGACGAGCGTATTCTTTCGTTTGATTATACCTGCGCTTGCCTCGCGACGAAGACTTGTTATTGCTCCGTTTTTTACATTATCCGACTTTGCTACCTAGTTAGCATTTTGCAATAATTATTGATGCTGAATTATTGACGATATTCCGATTACCAAGCTTCATTTTATATCAAATCATTTCGCGGCCTAAATGTTATAACATTATTTGCGATAAATTTAGATCACATATTAATTATTTAGCCGGCGGTAAATTCTTACCCGTAACTCGTTGTGAATTAATGCTAATAAATTCTATTTTGTTTTTTAATGTGCTGTAATTTGTATTAAGAAAAGTGATTGAGTGGGAAAAGAAAGTAGCCTTCTCTCCCTTTACTCCATAACGGCGGTAAAATTCGTCTCATGTCTGTTTCACGGAGAGAAAGAAAAATACGCCTTCCGGAATAACAATCAACTATCACACATTCTTATTTATGGTTATCAGCGCCGAATAAAAAAGATACCAAATCGTGAAGACAAAAAAGTCTGTCGGTGTTAATTGCGTTACGGTGATAACGCTCATAATAATATCGTTTTGATCGTAAAACCAAACGCTCATACGGGGTGGCGACTTTACGTAATTTGTAACTTCCCTTCCTTAACTCGAAATAATTACATAAATCCCTAAATTACGTGCAAGCCTAGTCCCCACCTACTACTGTATGGATCAAAATGGACTTCTATAAGCTTTTTACTGATTGCCCTTTCTGGTTTCACAACTCGCAAAAGACAGAGAAATGGCCAAATAACATGAAGTCTTGTGGCTTGAATGGAGTCCCAGATCGAAGTTGAATGTCATTACCCAATACCCACATACACTCACGATATATCTGGTATCTAAAGACTACTGCTTATGAAAGGGCCAGATTCTATTACAGACTGAGTGAGGTGGTTTATGATATTTGAATCCAATATTTTGATCTGAAAAACCAGTTCTCGGACCACTTGTCAAAAAAAAAAAAACTGGAGAATGGAGATGAAAACGGCAGAAAAATAGAATTTAATCAGTTATGCTTAGATGCAATGGTTACCCCGCCATTCGTGCCTGGACTCTCCCATCATTACGAGCGATACTGGAAACATCAGGTCGCTTAAACGTACTTAAAAGGCCAATTTCAGTTAGTAAATTTTGTTCAGCTTTCTTGTTTTTTGATTTTTAACACTATACGTTTTATTTCAGCCCGAAGACAATTAAGGCAATTTGCGTAGATAATTTATTTGATTGAGCAGAAATTTAATATCATTGGATTAGGTTGGACCATCCGTTGGATCCTACTACTCGTAACATAGACTAGGAATTTCCCGGACAGTATTAAATGTTTTTAAGTCCGAAGTCAACCGCTCTCTACTGACATTTCCAATACGAAAACAACCGATATATTTATTTTGGAGTAGGTTATTGCATGCAATTTTTTTTTCTCATAGGTATTGTTTTTACTGTTATTAGGAGACCTTGCATTGGACCAATTCTATCATTACTCTTTCCACTTTCAGTTAAGAGCTTTGGACCTTGGTTTGAACAAACTTAGGGGCAGTAATAATCCGAAGTGAATTGTGCACCAAGCTATCTTTGTTCATACAGATTCGCCAAACAACGCTTTGTAGGTTTGAATTCCAGGAGAATTATGAAAAAATTTGCTGACAAACTTCCGCAAAGTTTGGGTAATTTTACGCCTGGCTTGTATTAGTATTCGCAAAGCTAAAAACTTATTGTGTTTACTCTTCAATTACTGTTGTATTCAGATAACTTTCCTATAGATTTAAATAGAATATCTAAATTATATTTTGAAATTCAATGCGATTTCTCTATAAATAGAATATTTTAAAATACTAAAATTAATTCTTCGATGTCATCTCATAATGAACTTCACGCGACATCGCTAATCCGATTAACTTCTGAAACAACGTCACGACATACTGAGCGTCTGCTTCTATAAATATACAAATTCGGTAAATTTTTAAGCATAATAGCGAGGCGGTGGAACTACATCAGTACAGCTTGATATCAACTATATGAAGGCAACTCGCTGATAGAATAGCTCGCAAGACTTTTAGAGTTCGAAAGATAAGAAACCGCCTATGATACTTGGTAATATTTGAACTTACTTATGTGATTAGAAGTCTTAATATCGTTAGGTATATAAGTCTTAATATGAGTTAATCAATTTTAAAACTAGAATCATCAACCGCAACGTCATGATGGTACCGGGAGATTGCAATATAGACAGACAATAGATTCCAATATAGTCGTACTCAAAAATTTTCCGATAATAGAACAAATATTTCGCATGTTAGTGCGATGTTAGAAGGGAGAATAGCGAATACTTATAAATATGATTTATGTCATGTATTGTCTAGCCAAACACATAAGGCATATATAAGAGGCTTCATATATTATTCAGCAAGCATTTATTACGGATGACTCCTCAGTCAACAGAAACAGTCAGATTAACATACAACCAACACAGCCTAACACAAACACAGAATACCAGTACACGGCATGTCTACAGAGAACATCACTAGTGTGAAGGTCATCTTCAGTGACCTTTGACCTAACATGATCACTTATCATGACATCCCCCTTGTTAATAAAAATTAAAGACATATCATGCATCACTCAGAACTAGATTCAAAGTTGAGAATGAAGCATGACAGAAAGCGTTTTAAAGGGACAATCATCAAATAATAAGCATATTAATATTCTTCAATAAAACGACGAGGTCTTCTTCTATTCCTTCTAGATCTTCTCAATTGTCTTTGTGATACTTGAACATTTTCCTTTCTTCATGATCATAAGTTGAGTCAATCATCGGACCAGTATTGTAGGTATATCTTCTCTTGTTTTCAAAAGATGATATCGATTCCTTCTGTATCTTGTATCATCAGGAGTCTCAACATAATATGATCTGGGTGTATTATGTTTACCAACCACAATTGCAGGAATCCATTCACCATCACGTCTGATTCTTACAACATCTTGATTTTGTAATTTTTTCATCTGCCTAGCAGATCTATCATGAAATTTCTCTTTGATGCAAATGAGAGTGAACATTCTTTGCAACTTTTGGATTTAAAAATTTCTTTGAAACAGGTATTTTCGACCTTAGCTTCCTGCTCATTAGTAATTCAGACGGTGAATATGACATATCAGAAATTGGAGTATTACGAAATTCAAGTAACGACAGATGAATATCTCTATTAGAATCATCAGCCTTTTTTAGCAAATTCTTGATAGACTGTACAAATCTCTCAGAAAGACTTGCTTCATTGCTTCTTGGATAATTTGGACTTGAAGTTACAATTTGTATTTCCCAATCTCTGCAGAATTTCAAAAAATTTAAACTGTTAAATGGCATATTGTCAGCTACAATTTTTTCAGGTATGCCATGGCGAGCAATTATTTCTTTCATAGCTGATATTACAGAATAACTCGTCTTATTCTGCAATCTCGCAATTTCTGGATATTTTGAAAAGTAGTCAACAACCAACAGATAATCTTTTCCTTTGTAGTAAAATATATCTGAGGCAACTGTAGACCAAGGTATGTTTGGAATCTCATGTGAAATCAAAGGTTCTTTTTGATTACTTCTTCTATGTTTCAAGCATGTTTTACACTTGGAAATATAATCTACTATATCAGCTTTGATATTTGGCCAAAAGACGGAATCTCTTGCTCTTGATTTTGACTTTTCGATTCCAAAATGAGCAATATGAACTCTCTTCAATATATTCGATCTCAGTTTTGTTGGAATTATTATACGCTCTCCTTTGAGAAGTAAATTCTCACAGACCGTTATCTCATCTCGATAATTCCAATATTCGACTACGTCTTGAGATACTTGTGCCCTTTTCACTGGCCAGCCTTTTTGTACAGTTTTATACAATGATTGCATTTGTGAATCATTTTTGGTCTCTTGTAAGTGTTTTGTACACATCATCTTTCATATCTTCATATTCAAGAAGATTGGCATCATATATTTCTTCTTCCTTCTCAGATGAATACTCTGAGGAATCGTATGCTCGACTTAAAGCATCAGCAATATAAAGTTCTTTACCAGCTTTATATTTAACATCCAGCGGGTAAGAATGTATTCTTAGAATCATGCGTTGTAAACGCATCGGAGCACAATGTAATGGTTTTTTCAATATTGTCTCAAGTGGCTTATGGTCAGATTGAACAGTGATGTGAACTTGGCCAAACAAATAGTCATGAAAGCGTTCACATCCAAAAACGATTGCATACATTTCTTTTTCGATCTGCGCATAATTTTGTTGACATTTTGTGAGCGATTTAGACGAATATGCCACTGGTCGACCATCTTGAATTAAACATGCGCCAACTCCTTTTGAGCTCGCATCAACAGATAAAATCGAACAACAGGTTCATTAACATTGAAATATTTTAACACAGGAGCATTAGAAATAGCATATTTCAATTTCTCAAAAGCACTGTTTTGCTCAGGACCCCAGAACCATTCAATATCTTTTAGCAAATTCTTGATAGACTGTACAAATCTCTCAGAAAGACTTGCTTCATTGCTTCTTGGATAATTTGGACTTGAAGTTACAATTTGTATTTCCCAATCTCTGCAGAATTTCAAAAAATTTAAACCGTTAAATGGCATATTGTCAGCTACAATTTTTTCAGGTATGCCATGGCGAGCAATTATTTCTTTCATAGCTGATATTACAGAATAACTCGTCTTATTCTGCAATCTCGCAATTTCTGGATATTTTGAAAAGTAGTCAACAACCAACTTCAGTCAAACGAAATTTACATTAATCACGATTCAATTTCAAATTGCTTTGTCTGATGTTTTCAAGAATAATAGATAACCGTTGGTCATGTTCCTCTAGTGTACTGCCCCACACTAGTATATCATCAATAATTACTTCAAAACCTTCAATATTTTCAAATATTTGGGTCATAATTCTCTGAAAAACTTCACTAGAACTAGAAATAACCATGGGTAGTCGTTTGAAAAAATATCTCCCAAAAAATTGTGTTAAATGTGCATAATTTTGCACTGTCATCATTTAACTTAATTTGCCAGAAACCATGATTAGCATAAAGTACAGAAAAATATTTGGCATTAGACATTCTAGTCATAATATCTTCAATGGTTTGCTCTGGAAAATGTTCCCGTTTTATAGCACGATTTAAATGCAAAGGATCAAGGCAAATTCGTAAAGCATTATTTTTCTTTTTCACGATTACTAGACTATTACCCATTCTGAAGGTTCAGTAATTTTTTCAATAACATTCAAATCTTCCAAACGATTCCATTCAACTTTGAGCAACTCTCTTAGAGCAACAGGTACTCTACGAGGTGGATTTATTATGGGTTTTACATCAGTTTTAAGCTGAATTTTATGAACAAAATTGTCAATGACTCCCAGGCCATCAAAAATATCAGAGAATGAATCTTCAACATTATTACAATTATGTGAATTATCAATTCTCTTTATAAGATTTAAACTTATACATGCATTCAAACCAAGTACTGATGGTACATCCTGTTTGACTATCATTATATTAATATGTTTTGTGAAGCCTTTTTGTTCACAAGGTACACATATTTTACATTTAGGTTTGATTTTTCTGCCATCAAACATTTTCAATATTATGCTTGTAGTATGTATTTTCAAATTTTTGACTTTCAACTCTTCAAAAATTTTCTCAGATATAACATTGCAATCAGCACCAGTGTCAATTTTGAAATTGACTGATTTGTCTAGAATTTTGACATCAACATGCCGACTATCTTTATTATTTAATGAATTTACATCATTCAGGCAGTACAATGTTGGTGTTCTGTCTTCAATATTATCAGCATTGTTAGTCTTTGCATGTCTTTGCAAGGTACAAACATCTTTATTTCGTCCAGGCCTCCTTGACTTGAGTCTGCATACGGATTCAAAATGTTCTATTTTCTTGCAATAGTTGCATCTTTTGCCAAATGCTGGACATGATTTTGGAGCATGAAATCTTCCACAGTACTGACATGTTCTTTTTCCATAAGATCTTGACTTCTGTGTCTGCTTTTTTATATTTCTTGATTTCTGCAGATTGTTAATCTCTGAATTTTCTTCTTTCTTGAACATATTTGTATCGCATGCATTCGAAGTATTTTTCATTGCATCGATTTGCTTCTTTGAAGTTTCTATTGTGCGTGCTATTTCAAGGGCTTTCGTGATTGTTGGATCTTTTTCTCTCAACAATCTTTCTTTGACAGAATTGTCACTTTAACCAAGCACAAATTTATCTCTCACCATATTCTGTGGTGCTACAAATTAGCATTGTTTGACTTGTGTTCTCAATCTTGTTGCATATTCAACAACAATTTCAGTCTTTTCTTGCTTGTATTCCCAGAACTTAAATCTTTCAAACAATATACTTTTTTGTGGATCGAAATAGTTTTCAAATTGTTCAACCACTTTATTCAGGTTCTGTTTATCATCATCTTCAGCAAAGGTAAAATTTTCATACAGTTCTAAAGCATCTTCACCAGCAAAATTTAATAACATGGCAACTTTGGCAGCATCAGGTTTGTTGTTCTTCTCTGCAGCAATCAAATATATGTCAAAACTCTGTTTAAATCGTCGCCAGTTTTCAGCTAAATTACCTTGGTGAATATCAAGATTACCAGGTGCATTGAAATGATCCATGTTGAACAGTTATTTATCAGGGAAGCTTTTTACATTATGAATGAATATTCATTCAAATATCGGAAATATCAAAACGGAAAGGAGACAACTTGAAAAGAACCTCAATGACATAAAAAGTAAAGTTGACAGTTTCGGGAAGCGGGATGAGAATAAGTAATAATAATTATTCAACTGCTACTTTGGAATCCTATATAAGCTGAAGTTGTAAACAATATAATATTCAATTTTGATCTACCGAATATAATTTATAAATGTTATTCTCTTGTTAGATTTGAATGTACAAGACATGTATGATAAGTTGACAGAAGACAACGAACAGATGAAGAAAGGTAAATATGTCAAATAATATTGTTTAATAACGAAATATGTATCTGCAAACAATTTTTCCACTTCAGTACCCACTATGACAAGCGCGTTTTGTGAACTGCTGTTAGGAAATGCATTTCATAAAATAAACTAAAAAATATTATTATGTTCGTTTTATTCTGAGCGCCTTAATGTTATTTCCTATTAGATTTGGTCAAAGTACAAGACATTAATAATAAGCTGACAGAAGACAACGAAAATATGGAAAAAGGGAAAATCTATGAAATAATTTTAATAATAATAATAAAATATGTCAAATAGTTTTCATTGTTGACATTTTAGCATACTGGGGTATAATTTAGTGCTCAGAGTGAGTATATCTGCGAAGTCATATAAGTATATTAGCAACATCGTTGAAAAGTTACCAAACCGCTTCATCTAAATGACAATGATATTCTTAGAATTTGTCAACAAGACCCTCGGTTTATGAGTATAGAAATATTATAAAGTTGAAATGGAAGGCATTTTTACAAATCACAATTCATTTACAAATTCATGGCTATATTTCAAGTTGTTGAACAGTTTATGCAGCGAAAGCATTCTCCCAATAACTTTATTTGAAGAAGTGATATTTTGTGAAATAACTCATATAATTACATAATGTTACATATAACTAACTACATGTTAAAAATGAAGTAAAAATTACACGATTTTTCTGAAGAAATATTTGACCTTTTGTGAGTTTGTTTAAGAATAGTACATTTTGCCAATTATTGTCAATTATTATTACAACTTCATCATTAACACTAAAAAATGCCAGAAATTAGTGAATTGCGGTACTGAATAAAGCGTTGTTGTTTTGGCAAGTGGTATTTAGATTGCGTCTAACGGATATATTAACATTCAGCGATATTCCGAATTGAAGAAAGACTTGCTGTTATAGAGAAGCCTCAGCGGGTTCAAAATAGATCCAGGCAGATTACCAGACCAACAACGAAGATTCCAACAATATTGAAACCAACAACTACGACTCGAACAACAACATTAAAACCAATCTTTTCCCCTAGGCTAGGTGAATACTTCGCATTACAGCGGTTTTATAATGTGACAATTCTTTACAATAATTGAAACCAGGAAGAACATAAGCATTATCTGATAGACTTCATTGTATGCCCAAACACGACCGGTTGAGGCGGCTGAATTAAATAAATTGAAGTATTGTACAATGTATTGGAAATTATCATTTGATCTGATTTCAGTTGAATGAACAGTCATTACATTTCAGAAGACTGCAAATTGAAGATTGGAAACATCTGCTATTTTGCTGCAATACGAGGTAAATATGATGTCGTGTACAACAAAGCAGTTGATATTTATAAGAAACGTAACTCACATTTTGGCTTGATCCGAGATGGAGGATCTTATAATGCAATTACAAATTCCTTAAGAAAGAATATTCTGGAAGATATGCGTGACATTTGGTTTTAAACAGGAATTAAGATTGATCCAATGGTTAGTATCTTAGGGTTATGTCAATTATTCTCTTGTGTAGGAATATAAAATACATTACGATATGGGTTGAGTGTGAGGTGACCACGGCCAAAGATGTTTGAGATAACTTGGGCTGGTTTATCAGCTACAACTGCGCAGATGATGTATTGAATATTTGTTTGCGTTTCGACTGTTTGTGAATCTGGGTGAGTTCACATGAAAGTTGTTATTATGAGCATGATTCAGTGATAAAGGCCATTGAATTTTTTTTACAGACTCGTGACGTTACACCTGCAGATTTATTCAGTAAATGGTATCCAGGTAAACTGGACACGGGAATTGATTTTAAAGATCGCACAAACGTTAAATCTATGTTCTTTTAATTCCGTTTATTCAAGGGATGGGGGAATGCTACTCCTACCTGTGA